AATTTTGTTTATCTAGCTCTAAAAGTCCCCTATCTCAGCTGGATACTCAGAAGCTTGTAACATTCACTATTCCATTTATCTCTGATCATATTTCGCATCTAATACGATAGAGGCGTCAATTTTCGCGCCATCATGTCATCATTCTAGGGCGAGAAATTTAATGAAAGCGCGGCATTCAACAAATGTGCGGCTCAGGTTTCGGCTAAAATTATTCAGTGCCGTCAAAGAAAAAAACATATTATTAAGGTCTGCACATAAAGTCGATCACATTGCTAACACAGACAAAAACGCTTAAATATCTCCTACAAAATGAACGGCTGAGTTTGTTTTTTCTGCGGGTCAAACTGCTACTATATGTCCCAGAAGCGCTCAGGCATAATAATACATTGTATGCCAGGACTTCTACCTGGATGAACCAGAAAGGATATAGAACAACTACCTATTTTCTTTCTTTTTACGGCTACGGGTCGAAATGCAAAACGTGTTATATATCCTAGAAGCGCTCAGGCATAATAATATACCAGGACTTCTACCTGGATGAACCAGAGAGGATATAGAACAACTGCCTAATTTTTTTTTACGGCTACAGGTTGAAATACTAAACGTGTTATATATCCTAGAAGCGCTCAGGCATAATGATGTCATGCCAGGACTTCTACGTGGATGAACCAGAAAGGATATAGAATAACTGCCAATTTTTTTTTTTTTACGGCTACGGGTCGAAATGCTAAACGTGTTATATATCCCAGAAGCGCTCAGGCATAATAATATGCCTGGACTTCTACCTGGACGAACCAGAGAGGATAAAGAACAACTGCCTAATTTTTTTTTTACGGCTACGGGTCGAAATGCTAAACGTGTTGTATATCCTAGAAGCGCTCAGGCATAATGATATCATGCCAGGACTTCTACCTGGATGAACCAGAAAGGATATAGAACAACTGCCTAAATTTTTTTTACGGCTACGGGTCGAAATGCTAAACGTTTTATATATCCTAGATGCGCTCAGGCAAAATGATATCATGCCAGGACTTCTACCTGGATGAACCAGAAAGGATATAGAACAACTGCCTAATTTTTTTTTACGGCTACGGGTCGAAATACTAAACGTGTTATATATCCTAGAAGCGCTCAGGCATAATTATATCATGCCAGGACTTCTACCTGGATGAACCAGAAAAGATATAGAACAACTGCCTAATTTTTATTTACGGCCACGGGTCGAAATACTAAACGTGTTATATATCCTAGAAGCGCTCAGGCATAATGATATCATGCCAGGACTTCTACCTGGATGAACCAGAAAGGATATAGAACAACTACCTAATTGTTTTGAACGGCTACGGGTTGAAATGCTAAACGTGTTATATATCCTAGAAGCGCTCAGGCATAATGATATCATGCCAGGACTTCTACCTGGATGAACCAGAAAGGATATAGAACAACTGCCTAAATTTTTTTTACGGCTACGGGTCGAAATGCTAAACGTGTTATATATCCTAGAAGCGCTCAGGCATAATTATATCATGCCAGGACTTCTACCTGGATGAACCAGAAAGGATATAGAACAACTACCTAATTGCTTTTTTACGGCTGCGGGTTGAAATGCTAAACGTGTTATATATCCTAGAAGCGCTCACGCATAATAATATGTCAGGACTTCTACCTGGATGAACCAGAAAGGATATAGAACAACTGCCTTTTTTTTCTACGCGTCGAAGTTCTAAACGTGTTATTCTTAGAAGCGCCCAGGCTTAATAATATGCCAGGTTTCCAGAGGCTGATTTTAGCTGATTTTGCGGTGCGCAAGAATGGATAATTTACCCGACTTGTAAACAGATATTTCCTTCAGCCGCTTGTGCGTCATGCGGGAGAATGTCATGTCTGCGTTGTTTTGTTTCTACTGAAGTTTTATCAAAGAAAGCTTAAGCGAAAATAGGGAGATCGCAATTTATACTCTTACGAACTATAAATTAGGGCTGACCTGGAAGACGCGTTGAATTGTGCCGCCATCCTTCAAAATATAATCTTGCTGCGTTTAGGGAGACAATTTCCTCTTCCATCCAGATTTACTTGGTATATGTGTTTGCGAGAATCTTCAGACAAAGAATTGGGTATACACTGATTCGAATGGCTTGGCGATACTAAGTGCTTAAGTCTACTTACCGATTACAACATGTTTTGGAAGTATTGAGAAGCGGGCCAAACGAGGTTTTCACAGCGTTCTCGAGCGAAAACGGCGCGACCTGGATTGATAAAATTACCATTACATGCAGCTATCATGCCAGTGATTTCTCCTTTCGTCGCATAGTGAATATTTTGTGAGCACATCCTCGACTCTCGAAACATTTGTCTTGCGCCGCTATAGAAGTTGCTTCTCCCTCGAACCATAGGTAGATTTCCCGCTTAACATAATGTTTGATAATTTATGCAAAAGTTGACCTCGTGAAAGTCAGCAGTGCGTTAATCGACTCAAAAATAAACAGACTTCCTACAGGGTGTTGAACACGGTTTTAATTAAAGTACTTTACGAGCGCTGCGGTAGTTGCCGCAAAAGTGTTACGGTGATCGATACTCAACTGGATGATTACGTCACTTCATAGCAACCAGACGGTACGAATAAAGTAATAAGTAATGATAACGATCACGATATTGATGATGATGATGATAGTAAAACTAAAATTCAGTTAAAACAGAAGAGTAAGCTCAGATGATTAAGCTGCATGTTCAATGTTGGTTTCACCCTCCTAATATAATTATGAGAAGTTTATATTTGTTAACTGGAAAGACGAACGTGTCGGTTTCTCACAATAACGACCATTGACCACCACAGAAAATGCCATAACATACCCATAATGCTCTTTGTTTGCCACCCCAAAGTTTTGCAGAAGTATGTTTTCAGTTTCTTTTGAGGCCATTTGAACTCCCAAGGGATTGAATCTAAGAGAGGAAATGGCTTTCCTCGGGAACAAAGAAAACTGTCCGTACGTAATTAACGTTGGGTGTCCGTACAGTGGGTTTCAAGTGACATAAAATTTATTTTCCCTCAAAGGGCTACACCAGAATAACACTAAATCTAAATCTTTGTTGGGGAATGGGTTTGTTCACTCGTGCAAATGACGTACCAGTTGTCAAAGTATTTGCCCTTCACAGTTCCACCAGCTTGGTTCGTTACACCAAGAAGCTCTTCAGAACAAATAGCTGGCTCACATTGTGTTTCATGCTTTCCGAAAAAGGCATAGCAAAGTTTTCATCCATACCGATCCCTGCAAGGTTCTCTTCCAAGTCAACATGTAGTCGATACCATTATTTATCAGACACAGGTCCGAATGTGTGTTAAAGCTCACTCCTTATAGGCATTTGAACAACCACTACTTTTCAGAAACAAGTCTGAATCGAAACACTTGGGACCATATTCATATATGATAAACACGGATTTAGACGGTTTTAATACGCTGTCAAAAGTTATGAAACGTATTTTCTCATTAGCGTTAGGATGGATTGACGTGAGATACAGTGCAAGAAGAAGAACAAGTAGACGCTGCAGTAACATGCTTAAGATCGTTTAGTTGGTTCCGTCAGTAAAACCTCTGTGCAATCTGCAGCGCCCTTCGTTTTTGTCGACACATGCGCTCTCCACATCAAGCTAAACCAAGCGACATTCATTTGAAAAAACTCAAGTTAAAATGTACCAGTTTTGTCTCTTAACAATTAATTACAAGTCTTTTAATTAACTGCAGACTCGTAATGTTTTAGTCACTGAAGACTACCGGTAGCTTTTATCCTCAACGTGATATTTCCACCTTCAACCTTAATCCACTTCCGCATTAATTGTCTTCGGGATTTCCATAATAAACAAAGGCTACGTATTTTGCATAGGCGGGAGATGGGCTAGACTGTTTCAAAACTGCTTCTTAGTTTGCAAAGATCAAAGCATTGCTTTTAACTTTGTTCAGAAATTGTGCAAGGCAAATTTTTTGTATCTTGATGAAATGAGAAAGCAAACACATTCGGCAAAAACACTTCCGCTTTTACCTACTAGCAATATGTCGAGTCTTGCCAAAACACAACGCACAACGACCATCAAAAGAAAGAAAAGATTGAACCTTGGACAAAAATAAGAATCGAACAGAAAGCACTAAATTCTCTGGTTAAGTTCGTCTGCAAAACAGCGCTGAAATCCTTGATCAGGGCCCCCACCTGTGTACCATGATTTGAGTACGCGCTATGATTGGCCAATAACCTACTGAAAAAAGGCCATTGCTAATTTGTCAATCAGGTGGAAGAGAACTGAGTCGAAACGCATTTCCGGTAATTCCTTCAGTCCGCTGAGGGCTCAGAACAAGGATCTCGGCTTTACTTCACAGACGTTACTAACCGGATTAAGATTACGTCTGCGACGCAGGCTACATTATCTACTCCTATCTTTGATTTATATTGCGGTCTACTTAGGCTGTATGACCTTCATAAGTCCAGGCATAAGAAAGCAATACTGAATATTAAAATGTAAGAATATATTATGTAAGTAACGTATTACATATGTAAAAATAGAGCTATTATTTTTCATTGTTGTTAGTCTAACGATCATAGAGATACTTAATTCATATCCGAAAATCCAGCCGTACTAAATCTTCAGGAACTGTTCAGTGCTATTTTTTATCAAATGTCCAGTAAGGGCTGTGCTCAGCCAGTGACCGGTGGTACCTGGCGCCTTAATCTTGCTCTTGGGCATAAATTTTTTTTTTTCCTAAACATCATATTCTAGGCACCCCGAATTTCACAATCTTCACAGGCTCAAAGCACCGGGCTCTCTTCAATTTTCATATCACAGGCATCACAGGCATTCAGATAATGTGAACGGCGCAAAGAAAAGTGCTCGCCACTCCCCACGATCTGAACGACCACTGGAACAGGCTGAGGGAACAGCTTTGCCAGTAAGTTATAAAACTTTCCAACAAACAGCAGATTATCAATGATTTGGTGTACCGTTGGTTCTAAAATTAAGATGACACATCGGCATCTTTCAGTTCATCGATTATCTCCTGCATGGTTGGTCTCGGCCCAGGATCTCTATGAAGGCATCGCCGTACCAGGCCGCGAAACACACCGTTCGTTACAAGCACGACTTGTTCTTCACGCTTACTAGGATCTGGAAGTTCCCGGATGCACATTTCACAAAGAAGAACACCAAAGCTGTACACATCAACCTAAAAGCAATCATAATACATGACATTACTTATTAGTTGTGTACTGATTACAAAAGGAGTTAGGGTAACACGAGTGGGAGGAACTCGAGAATTCAAAATAGATGATTATCGATAAATGGATAAGAAAAGCCTAGAAAACAGAAGATCCTTAAAAGGCTTCATGGTACGTTCTTGGCTTAAATGTTTTGTTTCTAAAAATACTAATTAACTTTTGCTATCCCGTGACTGCTGTCTTTAGAGACAAGAAGGGATAAATTAAAGAATCCAATTACGTGGACCAAATCCAAGAAGAAGATATGTATAAAAGAGTGAAAAAAGTGCAGAACAAGGTACAAAGACTCCTCACAAAGATATAGTCATTTCATATGTATTGTTTATGGAGTGGACATCACTTATCACTTCTGCCACTGTTAGCCTTGCTGTACAGTTTTAGTAAGTAAACAGTCTTGAATATTCACTTAAACTTACCTTGATTGTTTGGTTTGATGTAAGTGCTTCAGGTGCACTGTAAATCATAGCTCCAGGAGCCACTGTCATGGTCTGCTGTATAAAATTAGCAGTGCCGTAATCAGAAACTTTGGCTCTCCATTGGTCATCCTGTCGCCATAGCAACACATTCGCACTGCTGACGTCACGGTGAATGATAGGCTCTGGTTTCTTTCGATGAAGGTAGTTCAGGGCACGTGCTACATCCAGAGAAATGACGACTATTTCTGTCTCGGAGAGTTGCCGCTGCTCCAGCAAAGTGCGCAGACTTTTCTCCATCAGCTCGGTCACAAACAGAGGAGTTCCCTCATCTTTCGTGGCGCCGATGAACTGTAGTAAGTGAGGATGGCGGCATTTAGAAGCGATATTCATTTCTCTTTCAAACAGATTTATGTTATGAGGAGAAAGAATCAACTCATGCATCTGCTTCACTGCTACAGTACAGCCACAATACGTTCCCTCATTGACAATTCCCCATCCTCCCCTCCCAAGGTATTTCTCTGTGATTTGAATTTCGTCCCGGGGAATAACCCAGTCACGTGTTTCTTGGTTCCGCAATTGATTTATTGTTTCCTGTGCTGTTGAAAGACTTAACTGTAGTTCAGAAACTTGTCCTCGGCAATTGGTCAACTGCTGTCCTATCTCCCTCAGTTGCCGCTGCAACTCCACCAGCTGCCTCTGGGAATTTTCTTCTCGTTGTTGAAACTCCGTCAGCTGCCTTTGAGAATTTTCTTCACGTTGTTGAAACTCCCTCAGCTGCCTTTGAGAATTTTTTTCTCTTTCCTGAAGCTCTCTCAACAACCGCTGCATATTTTGTTCACGTTGTTGAAACTCCATCAGTTGCCTTTGAGAATTTTTTTCTCGTTCCTGAAGCTCTCTCAACAGCCGCTGCATATTTTGTTCATGTTGCTCAATATCCGTTAGCTGGCTTTGAGAGTCCTGATACCGTTCTTTAACCACCCTGAGTTTTCTTTGTAAATCCTGCTCGCGTTGCTGCATCTCCCGTTTCTGTCTCTGGAAGTTTTCCTCACGTGGCTGAAAATCCCTCCACTGACTTTCTATTTCTGAGGTTCGCCTTGGCGAATTTGCTTTGCGTAGATTTTGTTTTTTTTCTAAAAAGATAATTCATGATCAAATATAAAACAAGGCAATCATGAAAATCACCCAAGTAACATGGGCAACCCGATTAAGTGAAACCTAAAAAAGAAAAATTTAAAATTTAAATGTACTGCGTTCCTCTCTTTAAACTGAGCGACACATAAGCTTAAGAGATACTGATGAAGAAGATGAAAATCAGAATTTCGTTTCGCTCCGATTGTCACTAAATAATTATGGCTTGCTTGTAAACTCACACAAAATATTGAAATGTGTGTCCAAGAATAGCCCCTTCCTTGAACGAGCTCTCATTTTTTCGTTCAGATGAACCTTAAGGTGGCTCGATACAGTTTTCCAGGGCCAATAACTCCCAAGTTTGAGCATAAGCTACGTCGCCATAAACAAAGTTTTGAAAAAATTGCCACCACAGTTGTACTAGATAAAGATGAAAATTTGTGGTGATTAGGGTTGCAACGACATCGGAGTTGTCATAGCAACGAAATGACGCTATTACTTATTTTAATTACAGCAGTATATATCGGCACTGGGAACTGTTCTTCCAAAATCATTCACGGAAGCTTTTTCCTCCAATAGCGGCCTCGATGTTTATGAAGTTTAAGCGAAATCTGTAAGAGAGTTATAGAGATATTTTGGGATAAAGATTTTGTGGTTAGAAATACGGTAAAAAATGGACAATGTCTATGTTCGGCTGTTATCTGTAGAAAAAGAAGCGCTTTTGACATGCATGCTCACCTCATTGTAGTTTCAATCTTCTTAAAAACGTGTGTGAAAGATCATGCAGATAGCTCCAGCCGATTGCTAGAAAGAAAGATTTGATTAGTATGTACCCAGGCGCTCTTGTTAGCGGTATTTGAATATTTTGGACTACTTTAAACAACTAGCAAATAGTTTTTAAACCGCTCGAGAGATTTTTTTTTAAATTTAAGATTCTTAAGATTAACCTTCCTTTCATATGACCTTTTAGTTTCAAGATTATTGATATATTGTAAGGCAGTAAAATAAGGGCTACAATTCCCAAATATTTTGGCTGAAATTTTGTGTTTACAAGTGCGAGCCTCTCATTATTCAGGGTATTGTCTCCAAGTTTCATATTTTCGTGCACAACAATAGCTAGCATTTTTGCATATGTCAAATGCATTGTTAGTTACTGCTGTTCACGTGAAAATGAAACTTGGAGACAATGCCTTGAATAAAGAGAGGAGGCTTTCTCTTGTAATGACGAAACTTCCGATAAAATGTAGCGAATTGTAGCCGCTATTTTACTGCGTTACAATGTATCAATAATCTTGAAACTAAAAGGTCATATAAAAGGAAGGTTAATCCCAAGAATCTTAATTTTTTTCAAAAATCTATCGAGCGGTTTAAAAATTATTCGCTAATTTGATAAAGAAGACCAAAATGTTTACCAAATCGCTAACAAGAGCGCTTCGATACATACTAATCAAACCCGTCTTTTTAGGAATCGGTTGGAGCTATCTAAATGATCTTTCACACACGTTTTTAAAAAGACTGAAACTACTCTGCGGTGAAATTGCGTGTCAAAAGCTCTTCATGTTTACAGATAACGGCCAAACAACAATATTGTCCATTTTTTACTGTGTTTCTAGCCATAAAAACTTCATCCCAAAATATCTCGATAACGCTCTTACAGATTTCGCTTAAACTTCACGATCATCGAGGCCACTATTGGAGGAAAAAGCTCCCGTGAACGATTTTGGAAGAACAGTTCCCTGTGCCGAGATATACTGCTGCAAGTAAAATAGGTAATAGCGTCATTTCGTTGCTATGACAACTCCGATGCCGTTGCAACCCTGATCATAACAAATTTTCATCTTTATCTGATACAACTGTGGTGGCAATTTTTCCAAAACTTTGTTTATGGCGACGTAGTTTATGCTCAAACTTGGGAGGTATTGACCCTGAAAAACTGTATCGAGCCACCTTAAATCAGTCGATTTGATACCAAAACGTTGCATCTTTTACCGCACAGCGGAAACAGTTCTTACCAACTGCCAATCTTGAGAGACCTTCAGGAACGAGAAAAAAATTCTCAAAGGCAACTGATGGAGTTTCAACAACGTGAACAAAATATGCAGCGGTTGTTGAGAAAGCTTCAGGAAAGAGAAAAAAATTCCTAATTCCTAATTCTGTTAATGACATGTCCCCTCCCCACTACTTTATCGGTCTTCCTCTCTCCTTTTCTCATCTATCTTTCCCTCCAAGATGATCTTTCCCAAGCCCTAATTTTTTTCCATTAACCAAAATACTTAAGCTTTTGTTTCTTTTAAAAAGGGTAACTTACGAGTTCAAAAAAACAATACACTAAATCTGGAGTGCAAAGACATCCGTGATGAGTTTTTAGAAAACCTGAATTTTTCCATATAAATTTTCTGTAATTTTGATACTGTGGAATTACAGAAAATGTATGAGAAAATCAAGCATCAAATATATGAATTCAGGAAGAATTAGCGGGCTTTGAATTCCAATACAAATCTTTGAATTTCCCTCCATCTTGCCCTGATTACCTATGATGCAACTATGAGCGTGAACTCCTCTATACGAGCCCACATCGCTGAGGTCTGTCTTTTGTAACGTCATTGTAGATTAAACTTTTGTAAGTGCATTTTCTGTTCTGCACGATGAGGACTAAGGATGTGCTGCGAGATTTGCCATTGCTATTAAATTTGCATTTGCATGTCAGCATTTGTGATTTGCTCTTTTAATAGCAATAAGCTTATGTGTTACATTAAGAGCACTATTTCAGTGAAAACTCTCCTAATATGTGTAATAAACAGCTCACGTCTTAGAAAGTGCTTTGTACAAGGTTATATTCACGAGCTTGTTTGTGTCAAAAGCCCTCACTCGCTCGTATCTCGCTCGTTCGGGTTTTGACACAAACAAGCTCGTGAATATAACCCCGTACAAAGCACTTTCTATGACGTAAACTACATTTTTGATAAGAAAACTACTGAGGACGATTCAGGATCTGAGGGGAAATTTTGGTGGCGGAACCACCAGTGCGCGAGAAAAATGAGGCGTGGAAGCAATTTTCATCAATCGATTTGTGAATTACAGACTAATGCAGTTGACTCAGAGCTTTTATTTAGTCTTAAATATGATCTGATTTTTTTTTACTCCAAATCACTAGAATAGGGGCCGGCCGGATATCATGCTCTTCTTTGTTGCTTTAAAAAAGAAGATCAATGTTGTTCTAGTAGTCTACCCCTCTTGACACTGTTAACAGCGACAATGTTTTGACGCGAAGATTCCCGGTCGACAAAATTTATAAGCGTTAATATTCTGTCTTGTTATATAACAATTATTCACCGAAGTGGAGGTGGCTAGTAACGCGTATTTAACGAGGCCGCAAAGCGGCGAGGTAAATTTCCTCTACTAGCCACCGACACTGAGTTGAATAATTGTTTTAGTATATACTAAAACAGTGAGATAATTGAGGACAAAAATGATGATTTTTAACTCATTTACTGTTGCCAACGATTACAATTTGGGCGCACGATGACCGAACGGTCGCGGTCATCGCTTTTTCTTAGCGACAAATAAAACTTTTGAAGGCGTTTGTATAGCTCTTGCGGGGACGTTTCTTCAAAAGGAGTTGTGAATTCTTTTTGTATTTAAAATCATTCTGTAAAAAAGATTATTAAATTTAGTTTTAAGCTTATTTATGAACAAGTCAACTAAATTAAGTAGCGCAAGACTTAAGCTTAATTTGCATTTGTAAACAAAAAACTTTTTCACCGGTTTTATCGATAAATTTAAGTAAAAAAGACGAAGATTTAAATGTTAAAACTTCCAAACCGAACTTCGTCACCTTTTTCATTTATTTTGGGAATAGCTTGCATGATTAGTTGTGAAATTTCTTAGTTTGTTACGGCAGCAAACCGGGAAGACATTTTGCTCGCAACTTACGCAAGTTTGGCGTCGCTCGCTCCAGGCGGTGTTGGACACGGTCCACGTGACCAATTTTGTCCAATCACGTCATTGCAGATGGCGGACCGATTCTTTCTCCTTTGTGCGGGTAGTCTCTTCGATTTTCTTCGGTTTTCGCAGTTTAACAAGTGGTTTACGATTATATTTTTTGGAAAAGTTTGAGTAGACAGATGTAGCAAGCCGCAGTTCTTAAAACAATATGATTTATGTTTGTTTTCTATTGATATTGCTCTTTGGAATTCTTCATGCGCATAATCCCTTTGTTTAGTTAAGAGCTATTGTTTATGCTTTTCAGTCTACATTTTCTCAGTGTACAACGACCCCTGACCTCCAGTTTTAGCATAATCTATTAGTTTTGTTGTTCAAGTATCTGAAATGGTCGGCGGGCCCCGGCGGGCCCCGCCGTTTTAAGGGTCAAAATGCCACTTGAAGTTTACCTACGTGCGTGAATCGTGACTCCATTCCGCGGCATCTTTAGTATAATAAATATACTCGCGCGGTCACGATCGAATTGGCTTAGAAGGCTTTCACTACACGATCAGCTTAGAATCCTTCCTTTCTTTCCTTTTTATTCGTCTTAAAAATATGATATGTTTTGTGATATATATATGTCATCGAAGCGGCCCTTAGGGCCTCCTTTTTGAATAGTTCTTTGGCTTCTTCCTTCTGCCCTTGTTTGCAAAGAGTTAAACTTGTGCGAGATTCTTCACGAGCCCTGATAAATCATACAAAAAACAACGGACAAATAAAACTGAATTCATACGGACTAAAATGAATAGAAAACCTCCACTAACTTGCTGTTGAACAAGTTAGCGAAGGAGAATTCCACTTTTTGCCTTGCGCCCAGCTTCTTCTGGAAAACCAGAATAGGTTGCACATTATTTTCGATGAGAAGATCAGTATCCTTCATGCACACGTCAATGTACCTGGAAAAAATCTGAGGTGAGAAGAGCACTGAAGAGAAGTTTACGTTCAAAATCAAGCACTTTAACCACATGTAAGAACGAAGTGTTGATACGTACCGCGTTGTTTCGATCCCTAAAATTATCTCTTCGACACAGAAAACAACGGTTTCGTGAAGCCAGCAGTAAACGTCGATTGCAGCCACCTTTCCGGAGAAAGATCTCAAATGAACATCGCATGTTATATCTTTTAAAAGAGGAAAAAGACCTATAATGCCCATATCACACTATTTCTCACGGTATTTTTATGGCGTAACGAGAGATGTGAACACAGCGAAGGTCAGATGCAAATGAGCCGTTTTTGATTCTTTCCCCATGATGCCCTTCGGACCGTGTCCAACACCGCCTGGCTCGCTCGGAGGAACTGGAGGTGAATCAGTGAATAGTGAAGGATATTCACTGATTGAGTAGCCAATCAGAGCGCGCGAAAAACACTATCCACTGTTTTAGTATATACTAAATATGGATATCTCACTCATCAATTATAAATATTTAAGCCCAGCTATCCACACAAATATACGGGTTTAACCGTACGCTTCTCAATTCAAAAACACCAAACTAACTACTCTAGCCATAAGCTTGAGCTACCTGTTTTTATAAACCTTCATAAATACAGTAAGTTTAACCCGTATTCGTCTTTTTTATTTAAAGACTAAAACCAAAAAAAAAAAAAAAAGATCTGCCTGTTTCCATACATTTGTACAGAGGTTCAACCATGTACCTCTTTATTCCAAAACCAAAACTTAAACAAAATTTTGGAAATTACTTTGAACACTCTCACCTTTGATTGGGACGGGCATTTTTTCAATAAAAAGCTGAAGCTCATTTGGATCAGCATCTTTTAGTTGAACAGTTTGTCCTTCGTGACCCCACCAGTCTTTTAGCTCTTTAATTGTAACTGTATCCTTGGTGACCTTCATTGTAGTTTCAGGCATAATTACAAACTGAAAAACGTAAGGAGAGGTAGTATTGGATTACTTCCTTGAAATACGTACTGTAGTCGATTAATAGAGATAAATCAATACATTTAGAGGTCAATTAACTGCATATTACACCGATATCCGGCAGTATAATCGTCATCCGCGATCAAAATTCACCTAAAGTGTTGCGCAAAGTACAGCACAGCTTCCTTAGTTTCCTCAACAACATGGCTTAATTACAGTACAGAGTAACCGTTGAATGTTAATCGTTAACAAACATTGCGCAATTTTTACAAACCTCTATAAAAAGCGGACACTTGGGAAGGTCCCGAAGGTGTCCGCTTAATACTAGGGGGGGGGGTACTTGGCTAAATTTTTGCTGGATATCTGCCGCTGGCCTCTCAGAGCCCTTACCCCATTATAGTCTATTCTGTGACCAATTATAGAAAATGTGCCACCCCATTCGAGTAACTCTATTGAAATTTCGACCCCTCTAAAGTCAGTCCACTTGTGAAAATGCGACCCCATCCAGCGGCACATTCCTATTAGCCTCTTATAAGGAAGTAACCCTTCCCTCCCGGGGCTTACCTCCTCACGGAACTTTATGATAAAGTAACACAATCTTCCAAATTATAAATAGCAATCACATGATTTATACGATAACATAACGCTGTTTTTATATCTCATAGCAACCTTATTTTCGCCTTTTTGCCAGTTGTTGTAATCTAACGGTCAATCGTTGATATTACCCGATGAGTGTGGTCATCTTTTGGCCACACGAAACAGAGCTGTAGTAATAAAACGATGCACTACCTCTGAAGTCTTGAACCAGTTTATTATAATTGTATTGTTAAATTATATATTTAAAACCCTTTCACTCCTAGAGTCATGGATCTATAAAATTTAGTTCTAACTCTTGAGCCCCTGGACGAGACCCCTTTATCAGTACTCTCACATGGTACTATTTGTTTTCAGTATTGGACGAAATGAAATTTCGACTTCTCTGTTGATAACGTTTTGATTTTGCTGATTTTGTCAGTGCAATCTCGGAAGTGAAAGAGGAAAAACATCAATAACTCACATACCATCTCGTCATGCCCTGCTATCCTACTGGTATATAAAATGCGGCAATCGTTGAACATCGCACGAAACCAAAGTTGTAGCTCTCCTTCTCCATCCTTCTTACCGCGCAATGAGACGGTACCAAGTACAACACAAAGCTGTGTATAGCCCAACTGACTGACCCAACTGAGCCAATCCATTTTGTTTATTGGAAGTGCACCTCATCCCCAGGCTCTCACCCTACTGAAAATCGCAGCCGCCGCAAGGACGGTATGGACTGGATTTGTGCGCTGAGGCGTTTTTCATTTTATTTCGTTCATTTGTTTTTATTTACCATTTTGTGAAAACTCAGACTAGATCAACAAAATGCACATTCAAAGTGACTTTTTTCCTGCATGTGTTTAAAATGCTTCGCGCTCGAGCAAAGTTTACATATTAGTTGACATAGCACCGCCTACTCTGCATATTTCAAACACTGAGAACTTTTTAAAGTAAACTTTAAAAAACATTGGTCCAAGACACGTGAAATGGGTTTATAGAAATCATACTCCAAAGAAATTCTGTGACTGAAAACCGATCAGATACCAAAAAGCTGCTGCAGCCCACAGGTTTGAAGAATAATCTAGGACGGGGAATTTACCCGCCAACCACAGTTTCTCTTTCATTTCTAAAACACGTGATGTCAAGTCTGGGGTCAGTGATCCTCTTAAACCTGTCAGACCAGGTTTACTTTTTGCAGGTATTCTCTTTTGTAGTTTGCTCGTTTCGCTTAAGTCACGGTTAAAATGGTCTACGGTGCCAGCGAAAGAAAAAAATACCGGGTAAATATCCTCGTGTGAAGCTTACACTGTGTCAGGGAAGGATGGAGAGGGATTAGAAAAAAAAAACAAAAACATTTTATACAGGCTGAATTGCCTGAAAAATTCAAGCGAAAAAAAAAGAAATAGAAGAAGAAAAACATCGTCCAGAGAAACTTTTCCCGTTTTAGTTGGCCATTAAAAGTAAAAAGAGGATCTGCTAGGAGACCAGCCACTGCATGGTTTTATTCGACCCCTTATACCATTCTCAAACATTCTTTTTATTTTTAGCATCGAAGCACAAAATATTGTCGTTCAGTCCTGAACAACTTGAGTGATGCCACAAACTACAAGTTTACTCCGCTACGAGGCGATACCCATACATCCCCCCCCCCCCGTTATTTTCAAGTTTTTTTTTTCCTTTTTTGTCTTTTAAAACGTGCTTTTTCCTTGCTTATGTTGTCTTCAATGATAACAAGCTTGTGTGTTTCACGCCGGGTATGTTTTTTTTTTTAATGATTTGAATATTTGATAGTTTCCCTCAAAGTAGAATTACGCAGAATACATATATAAAAAGTCAATTGCACTTTAATACCAGCCATATATAAGGCGAGAATTTACCCACGGAAAAAATAATAATGAAAATTGACCTTAACATCAATTTATTAAATTCTCAGAAAGCCGGAAATTGCGATTCTGAGAATTTAGTTTTCCGCATTTTTTCTACACAACCAGCGAATCCCCAAAAAAGACAAATAGAAATTAATCAGAATATGTTGATTTTCCGCCAACTGAATAAACTGAAAAAAAGATTGCCATAATTATTTTGGTTAACATCTTTACTATTAACATATGGTGTTCTTTATTCTCAATATTTAAAGAGTAAAATTGAACCAATTCAGTGGTTGTTTTAATTGTAAATTGTGCGTGCTGTTGCAAACCAGTCGGCAGTAACTAAACACAAGCCTCATCGTTCTCGCGAAAATCAAATTGACACGTATTTATTACAACTTGATGACAAGTAAAGACCGGTAAACGCATTTGTATTGCAAATCCGTGTCATACGAAAAGGATTATAACGTGTTGCTCGCATACAGCCTGAGGTGCTCCAAAAGTCCCATACATTGCTGTAACAACGTTACAGTAAATTGTATGGGACTCTCCACGATACTTACGGTTCAGGCGATTTGTGTTGCTCCGATGAAAATTAAAATTACTCAGTTTCCTGGTGGATTCCGTCTAAAACTCAATTCTTAGTTGATAAACTATGCTATTCTTACGGCAATCCTGTCTTCTCTAAATGATCTACTTTATTTGGGGCTGAAATGGAGTCTCGTATTAAAATCTCGACTCTCCGAAGGAGAAGCACAAATTTGATTTCAAATCGCATTCACTTTCTCATATTGGATGAAATGCTGTACTGGGCAGCACAGAAAGGGTAATATGTATTAGATAGTTACTGAGGCCGACAGTAATATGTGATATATTGCAGTCAGCTGAGGGCGTAGCCCGAAGCTGACTGCAGTATATCACATATTGCTGTTGGCCTCAGTAACTATCTAATACATATTGACCTTTACGGGTATCGAGGGGCGGGAGGTTATATTGATAGAACTATGCTGCCTTAAATTATTCAAAGAGACACATAGTTTGTTCGACATTTTAGGACGATCAAAATATCGCAGCGATACACTTGAGGAGTCCACGGTGATGCAATATATCCAGGGCTGAGCTAACAGAACCCTATAAACTGTATTTTTGATTAACTGAAGGCTAACTGCACTTCTTTTGTGTTCTACTCAACTCTGCTCTGCTCAGCTCAGCTTAGCTTTCTGTTTTGAATATTCTCAGCCCTACTCTTATGTAATCTTCTCTTCCTGCGTAGTGGTGAGATCACTCCTCTCCCACCAATGTGGCCCGGGTCCAAATCCCGGTGTCGACGCCATTTGTGAGTTAAGTTTGTTGTTGTCTCTCCTTTGCTCCGAGATCCTCCGAGAGGTTTTTCTATGCATCCACGTGCATAAGTATGCATAATCTATGAAAGGACAAAAGGCAAATTCCCTGGAGTATATCACGTGGTCTGAATTAATAAAACAAACCATACAAATGCAAGCTAAATATAGCCTGTACAGAAGGCGCTTGGAGACAATGGGCGCCTGCTACGCAACCTAAGCTGGACTAGGGTCTGTTTGAATCTACGTAACGTTATCCTGAATAAGCGTAAGGTAACAAATGTAACACATTAGCGAAAAACGTAAAGTTTTCAATCTCTTCAAAGGTATAATAATATGTAGCAAAAATGAAGAAAATAAGTAATGATAACGATCACCATATTGATGATGATGATGATAACGATAGTAAAAGTAAAATCCAGTTAAAACAGAAGAGTAAGCTCAGATGATTAAGCTGCATGTTCAATGTTGGTTTCTCCCTCCTAATATAATTATGAGAAATTTATATTTGTTGACTGGAAAGACGAACGTGTCTATTTTCCACAATAACGACTATTGACTACCACAGAAAATGCCATAACATACCCATAATGCTCTTTGTTTGTCACCCCAAAGTTTTGCAGAAGCATTGATTTTAGTGTCTTTTAGGGCCATTTGAACTCCCAAGAGATTGAATTTAAGAGAGGAAATGGCTTTCCTCGGGAACAAAGAAAACTGTCCGTAATTAACGATGGGTGTCCGTACAGCGGGGTTCGAGTGACATAAAATGTATTTTACCTTTAAAGGTTTCTCTACAATTACACTAAATCGCATTCAAGGTAAAGGAAGAAGTAAAGGAAGGTCATGTAGAAACTTAATGTGTACTTACCATTCTCGTGGACATCGTCGTAGTCATAACCGAACTCGAAAGACTTCTTAAACATCTGTTGATGAGTATACACAGGATAAAGTGGTACAATGACGTCATCTTTGTTGTGTCCGATGGGTGAATTGTAGGTTGAAGGAACCGAAGCGTTCTTGTTGAACTTGTGAAGCCATTTCTCATAGATACGATCCACAAAGGAATGATGAAGAGGGAAGAAGATACATCCCACGACTATGTGAACCTGGTTATGTCAAAAGGTCTGGACATTTGGCAAATGATAACCGGTCTTTGTACTGGCGTAGCCTTTCAGGATACTTTTAGAATTACACCTTGACTCTTTGCCATAGGGTGGCAGGTCAAAAGTTTCAAACCGGAGAGCAAATTAAAGTTGACTTCTTCTTTGGTTGGAAATGTCATTGTACATCTCTGTTTTCTTACTTTTTCTTCCTTTTCCTCCTTAGTGCGTGATCTCTTCCAAAACAGGTTTCTTGTTTGTTGCGTGGTCACACATCTTTGTCGGGAAATGGGTTTCTTCACTGGTGCAAATGACGTACCAGTTGCCAAAATAGTTGCCCTTCACAGTTCCACCAGCTTGGTTCGTTACACCAAGACGCTCCTCAGAACAAATAGCTGGCTCACATTGTGTTTCAAACTTTCCTAAAAAGACATAGTAAAGTTTTCATCATTACCGATTCCTGCAAGGTTCTCTCCCAAGTCAACATGTACAGTCGATACCACTATTTATCAGACACAGGTCCCAATGTTTTTTAAAGCTCACTCCTTAAAGGCATTTGAACAACCACTAATTTTCAGAAACAGGTCTGAATCGAAACACTTGGGACCATATTCATATATGATAAACACGGTTTCAGACGGGTTTTTTAGTAATACGCTGTAAAAAGGTATTTTCTCATTAGCATTAGGTTGGATTAATGTGAGATACGGTACAAGAAGAAGTACAAGTAGACGCTGCAGTAACATGCTTAACATCGTTTAGTTGGTTCTGTCAGTAAAACTCTTTGCAATTTTCAGCGCCCTTTATTTTTGTCGACACATGCGGAATCCATATCAAGCTAAACCAAGCGACATTCATTTGAAAAAACTCAAGTTAAAATGTACCAGTTTTGTCTCTTAACAATTATTTACAAGTTAGTCCTGTAATTAACTGCAGACACGCAGTGTTTTAGTCACTGAAGACTACCGGTAGCTTTTATGCTCACCGTGACATTTCCACCTTCAAACTTAATCCACTGTAGGACCACACAATTCTTAGAAACGGGTAAACTTCCGCATTGTCTTCGGGATTTCCTTACTAAATATAGGCTACGTATTTTGCATACGCTGGAGATAGGTTAGACTGTTTTAAAACAACTTCTTAATTTGCAAAGATCAATGTATTGCTTTTAACTTTGTTCAGAAATTCTAAAAGGAAAATTTTTTCTGTCTTGATGAAATGAGATAGCAAACACGTTCGGCAAAAACACTTCCGCTTTTACGTACTACCAATATGCCGAGTCTTGCCAAAACACAACGCACAACGACCATCAAAAGAAGGAAGAGATTGAACCTTCATATGAATCGAACAG